GTGTGTGTGTGTGTGTGTGTGTGTGTGTGTGTGTGTGTGTGTGTGTGTGTGTGTGTGTGTGTGTGTGTGTGTGTGTGTGTGTGTGTGTGTGTGTGTGTGTGTGTGTGTGTGTGTGTTGTGTGTGTGTGTGTGTGTGTGTGTTGTGTATGTATGTGTGTGTGTGTGTGTGTGTGTGTGTGTGTGTATTTCATAAATCACACATCAAAACATGCTCGAAGCAATATCTATAAAGACAAAACGTATCTGCAAAAGACAACAACAAATGTCAATGACACTATATAACAAAAAGCCCGAAAATATCACACGGGGGGAATCACGCCCACAAATCACCGAAAAGACCAATACATGTTAATGGATACCAGTAAATGGCATTATCATCACCAGCACATGCCGGCAGAACGACCCATGAGCCCAGCGCCACAAGCCTACGACAGAAGGAAATAACAACAATAAAAAGATATAAACTGGCACCCCCCTCCCCTTCACACAGAAATATATAAACGCACATATACGTACATATACACGCACATACACATACACACGCATATAGATACACATAAATACAGATACACTCACATACACATACAGATACACGCACATACACATACAGATACACGCACATGCACATACAGATACACGAACATACACATACGGATACAGAAATACACATACACATACACATAAAAATACACGCACATACACGGACATACACAGGCACGCACACACGTACTATAGGACTCCCTGCCGCACTCACACGCACACACAAAAAGGGCAGGGAGGGTGTGACACTCCGTATGTGTTTTGCGGTAGATGTTCTCAAGACACGCTATGATAGCGTGGGTTCTTATTTTTCTCTCTCTCCCTTTGTCTTAATGAGACTACAAATAAGGTTTCTTCTCATTCTTTTCTTCTTCTTTTTTTCTCCTCCTTCTCATCTCCTTCCTCTTCCTCCATTTCGTTATTCCTATTCGAAAGTGGTCAGCATTACACGTGACACGTCTTCTCACCGCAAGAGAAACCTAAATAAAAAAAAAAAAAAAAAAAAACGATAACTCGTAAAAAAAATGAAAAAAGGGATACCTAGATCTATCACAGTCTTAGAAGATGAAAAAAAAAACCTCAGCGTAATCAAATATGCGATAAGCCTACAAAAAATATCCCTGGGCGGTCGGTGCAGCAGTAGCAGCGGTCGCGAAGGCAAGGTCTGTGTGGGTGATGGCTGCGACAGTCTCCTTGGCCGATGTACAACACCCACTAACGTCACCAACTAGGCGGGTTCCTTTATTGAAGACCGCCGAAAAATTGCCCATTCAGGGTGCACTGATACCGACAATCCCAGTGGCATTATTATCAACTGGGGCGACGGGGGAGGGCGGGGGAGGGCGGGGGAGGGCGGGGGCCCAGCAGTCCCCTCTCCTTCTCTCCCTACTACCCCCTTAGTCAGCCTTTTGCCCCCTCGGTTTTATAAGGCAGCAAAAGGTGGGGAGGTGGGGCGGGCAGAAAAGACGAGCAAAGAGGAGAGGAAGAGGGAGAGAGAGGGGAAAGAGAGATAGGGAAAGATTGAGAGAAAGGGAAAGAGAGAGAGAGAAGGAAAGAGAGAGAGAGAGGGAAAGAGAGAGAGAGGGCGGTACTAGAACGAGAGAGAGAGACGGATTTAGAAAGATAGATAAATAGACAGAAAGAGATAGAGATAGACTAAGACATAGCCAACAAAAAATAACGTATAAAGATAAACAGAAAAAAAGAGTAACCCACCGTAAGAGAGAATGACAGCGAGGACAGACCGACAGAGAAGCTTGAGTGAAGGAAAACGCCATAAAGCATAGAGTAGCAGGTACAGTTGACAGCCACTTACAAAAACAAAGAGTGGCAACCCCTGTTATGGCCCATTGTTCTCACCCGCGCCTAGGAAGACTGTCCCCGCCTAGTAAGGAACCGTCTAAAAGGAAAATTGTCCCCGTCTAGTAAGGAAAATTGTGCCCGTCTAGTAAGGAAAATTGTGTCCCAGCCGAACTATACCGTAAATTGTGGCAAAGGCTTATTTTATGAATTGTGCGAAGTGAGAATACCCCCGCTAAACATTTTCTAGAAGGGAGGGCTATGACAGGGGGGGGGGAGAAGGGTTATATAGATGGGATGAGAAGTATGGTGGGAAAAGGAGGGGGAGGAGGAGAATGGAGAGAGAGAGAAGGGGGGGGGGGAGTGGTTATATAGTTGGGATGAGAAGAATGGTGGGAAAAGGAGGGGGAGGAGGAGAAAGGAGAGAGAGAGAGAGGGAGGCGGGGGGTGGAGGGGGGGAGGGGTCGGAGGAGATAGAAAAGGAATTTTTAATCATCAGACTCACAGGCTGAGTAATGATTTTAAGGTCCTTTGAATTAATTTTATGAGAGTGTTTGCGCCACATTGGACTTTCAAGTCAGTCATTAATTTTTATGAGCTTTATTATGATGATCATCACAGTTATCATTATCATTGTCTTTGTAGTTTCAGTTATCATCCT